GGGGCCATTCGCGGCGGTGGGCGCCCAGCGCCGGGGGCACCGGTGGCGTTGGCCAGCGCTTGTGAAATAACCGGGAATTAGCCGAGGCAGTGCCGCTTCCTAGAGCTGAGGCTTTCTGCAGGCGCAGGGCTGCGTTTCTCATACGTGTCAGTGTATTCCTGCTGCTGCTGCTAAAATACGAAATGCATAATCAGCTGAGCGAGATCACGGCGTGATCTCACACGCAGGCCTCGGCTGGGAGTTCTGCGGCGTCAGGTGGAGGATGCCTGGCCTGTTCATCTGGAGAGAGCAGCCGTCCTTCCCTTGCGTAACCTGCCCTCCTCTCACAGTGCACCTGGGCTGCTCCCAGGTCGTTTCTTGTAAGCAAAATGAAATTGATTTAGTTCTGGGCTTTCAAGGTCATCTTGAAAAGGTACATCTCAAACACTTAAGCTACATTTTTTAGATTATTTCAGAGGTGTAATCTTCTGTGAGGCCTTTACGCAAGACTTTTTCACCCTCTTGTGAGGAGAGCTCATGGTCGGAAATGGAGCAGTATATGACACAATGTCATAGGAAAATGCATCTCTCTTCTCCTCCTACTCTTTGTCATAGCGTACAGAGGTAAAATTATTACACAACCCTGTAAATCAGTTCATTCTATACATGTTTATGAAGGAAATGGAATGTGTGCCTTCTGTTTGATAAATCTGGGGTATTCTGAAAAAAGAGTAAGCTGGACATAGACCTAGATTTGGTCAAACACTATAAAGTATACTATAACGTTCATGTAGGTTGAAGAATTTTGTGTATAGTGATGCAACCATATGATTTTTTTCTTTTGTGGCTGTATTTAAGTTTTAATTTTGGATCACACTGTGGTATAGCTATTCAGTATGTAAATACAATTAGTTAATGATATTTCAACACGGGATATTCACTCCTTTCTCTGGAGATGCGTATTCTCTCAAGAACAGATTGCTAAGCTTTACAGTTGGAACGTTTTCAGTGAGTCATTGCATCTGCTAGGATGGCTATGGGAGGCTGATGTGCAGTATCTCTGGATAATAAGAGGGAGTAGCACTAAATTTTAGATGTGAAAAATGCAAAGTAAGGAATGCATATGTCTGCGACTGTCACAGTTGCACCAGATGTGAACTGCTGCATAACACCGCGGTACGGCTGGATCTGAGGTGAAACTTCAGGAGGGTTTTGTCATTAACAATACTAAACACCATGGGTGAGCGGAGCTGGTAACCGTGAAGTTAGGCAGCATACTGACCAGACCAAGAGAATGTAGTACCAAGTTAGACCAACGCTGTGTTATATTATCTCAGTTTAGGGAAGATGTTTTCAGTGGCGTGTTATTACTAGAAGATACTGGGATTTTTAGTTTAATAATAATTGAATAATGCTACTCTCTACAGAGCTCTTTTCTCCCCCATTCTTATGTGGTCTTATGTGTAAAATGGGCACTGTATGCAAATATTTCATTTAAAAAATACAGGCTATAGAGGTGTTATAGCAAGATGTGGGGGAGAGATGATGTTTATAGTATGCCGAGTTACACAGAACTTTCATTTCAAGATGTTCTATTATTGTGACATTAGGAGCGTAAGTCCCGTTTCACCCTGTTCTTGCCAAGATTGTGTGCTGCTTCTGTTAAGATGTAGCTTCCTGGAATTGTATAAACTACCTCTGCATCTATTTTCCTGCATGTTCAGGCTTATTGTAGGTTGTGCACTTTTCTTCCTCCCCTTCTATTTTTGTTAAATTGGTTTAAACTATTTTTTTTTTTAACAGGATTTCTACAATTGGCCTGATGAATCCTTTGAAGAAATGGATAGTAAATTAGCTGTTCAGCAGGTATTTTTATT